AAAGAGACGACAGAAAAAGAAAAAAAAATTGACTCGGGTCATAATTCTCAGAGGGGTTTGCTTCACAAGTCAACAGTTTGCTCATTTTATAGATCAGCTGTCCGCACACAGGAAGAGGGATGCTGAGGGGATTGGGTTTTCTGCAGACTAAAGACATGCAACTCAATGGAGCTGCTGACAGATGCGCTATTTGACTATTGTAACCTTTAAAACCTCCCATCCTGACACGCAGTTTAAGATTATACAGCTTTCCCAAATACTTTAAAATTTCCTTTGGACATTTTTTATTTTTTGCTAATAAGCTATTTGATTATTGAATTTCATTTCTAGAGACGCTCTGTTTTGACAGCAGCTCTCCATCAAAACGCCATTGTGTCGCCGTCTGCACAAATGCCAGTAGTAGAGATTGTTCTGCAGGCTTCCCAAGGTTGGGTTTTGTGTGCTCAAAAGTCAAGAGAGAAGACTTCAGTCGTGTCAGACGTCTGACGGCAGATTCAGGGGCTGCCGCTGCAGAATGTACCGTACACTCTGTGCCGTCCCTGATGGATCCGCACGACGCTTTTCGCAGCAGTCTATACCTAACTGTATGTCTCGCAGTTGAAGGCTCAGAGCGGCAGAGGTTCGAGGAGCTGGATGGAACCGATCAAGTGCAGGGGAAACAATGCTGGATTTTTTTTGTTGTTCAATTTTCTAAAGTCAAGGCCGACGGTCCATTCAGATCGTCAGCAGTTCTGAGGCGGTTCCTCCCATTAGATGTCTCATAACTGAAAAATTCATGCAGTGCACAAAGAGGCTTGCAAGGACACAGAAATGTATAATTCTGGATTAGCATTTGGTGCTTTTTCTAACACAACAGGCAGTCCTGTTCACTGGGAACGACGAAAGCTGAGTAAAACTGTTTCCAGATAGTTCAGACATGATGTTAGTAAAAATATCCCATGTCAAATCCATAAGAGACTGAGTGTAAAGCAGTACACTTGGCAACATGTTCACTTCGGCATCAAGTTTCTCTGCAATCTTTCAGCATATTTGTTCTTTGTAGGTCGTCCCATCACAATTGACAAGGCGGTTGCCAATGACTACGGTCTTGTGTTGGATAGAAAATGGTGGTTGACATGTTGCTGATTATCTGCAACTTAAATGGAAAGTTTTTGTCTACAAATTTAGCCTCTCTTGTATGATTTTATAGATTCTTGAGGTTGGATATGAAACAGGTTGTGTGTTCTTCTGCAATGGGCTTTATGGTAAATTTTGGGAGCTTGAAATAGGAATTGACTCAAACCGCGTGTATGAATTATTCTGTTCCATCGGTCGTACAGAATTATTCATATATAAAGGTCTTGCCTTATTCTGCTTGTATTAAATCAGAATGTCACCCAAAAGATTATTAACACAAGTTAGCCGAGTATGTAAAGATGCTGTTTGTTCTTCTCTGCATATGCATAAATGCGAGGTCGTCTTCCGCTGAGCGACACCCGACGGAGTGTGAGCGTTTGCATCTGCTGGTGGTGGTGGTGTGTGTGTGAGTGTGTGTGTCTGCACCACAATGGGCAACGCTTCATAAATGCTCAGAGATGCCTCCAAATATCAGTTATGTAATTGCATCGTTTCCCTTCGTCTGTTCCTGCGAAGTCTCTTCACCTCCCTAAATATCCTTCTTTCTCTCTCTCTCTCCACCCCTTCTGTTCCTCCCTCTGGACCAATCGTTCCCCTGATGGGAAAACTTTTCTCAGCCAGCCCTTCCCTGGAAGCGCCTGCAGTCTTCAAACTGGCCTCCGATTCATTCTTCCTGCCTTCCAGCCTTCGTCTTGTTCTCATGAACGCCGCTCGCTCTTCTGTGCGCCGCCGTCTCCCCAGGAAGCTGCATGTTCCTCAATTGATTTCTGCATTTCTGGTCGCAAGCAGAGATGCTCAGACGTTGCTGTGGCCACGTGTGAAGTAGATGTTAGAAGTCCTTTCAGTGCATCCTGTATCCCTGTAAGAACAGATGGATTTCCGGCCGCCTCTGAGCTTTTTCCTCTGATCAGTAGCTCAGCTGCCGTTCGACTCCAATCAGTTTCCAAATTGATTTCACGCAGCTACTGTTTTTTTTTTCCCTTCCACAGATGTAGCTATGTAGGGAGAAACACGAGGAACACAGAAAGTCACAAGTAAACAACACCCGCTGGAGCAAGATGGATTTGAAACTGTGTTTTATGCTTTCATTTCCTCAGTCAAATAAAAATAAAAAAATTAAAAAATAATCTATAATTACAGGATTTTCTCCAAAATCTGGAACTTTTTAATTTCAGGGCGTATATTTCAGTCGACTGAGGGTGCTCCGAAAGCAGGAAGCGGACTACATCGCGGGGCATTCTGGGTAAAAACAACCAAAGCAAATGAGTGAGTCCAGCGCTAGTTGGAGAAATGGTTTCTGGTCTTTTGCGAACAACAAAAGAGAAATCCTGCAACCGCTAAAATCTGATGCCACTCCAGTTTATGTTTACGTGCCGTGGAGAAGGAAGTCGCGCTCGTGTCGCCTTCAGAGGTTTTTATATCGTTTCATTCAGTGGTTCTTGGTGCAGCGCCACCACAGGCGAGGAGAGTGAACAGCTTTTTCAAAGAGTTTTTTTTTTGTTTTTTTTTATACGATGTGGTGTGAAAATGTAAGATTTATCCAGAATTTAGTTGTCTAAATTATAAACCAAAAAGCAAAAGCAAGGCAAAAAAGATTTCTTAATACGTAAGTGAGATGTTTTTTTGTTTTTAGGATAGAGCTTTCATTACACACTTTCACCAATTAACTTAAATTAATTAAGACAACTTTATTATTTGGCTTTCTTTTTTGGCAAAGTATCAGAAAAATCTAAAACAGATGAAACCAGATATTTACATACGCTCTATAAAGAAATACACAGCCTTTTATCATCATCTGACTTTAAATCAGATTATTTCTTAGGGCAGCTAAAATTACTTAAACTACCCGAAGTCACCTGATTCAAATCCCAAACTTCAATAGTTAGGGGTTTTTTAAGTCATGACCTCAACTATGTACCTGTAACTGATTTCTTTCATCCATTTTACAATCTAAATGCTGAGATTTTCACTAGGAAATATGACCCACATTTGGTGATGACTGTATTACTCTGTGTTTATTTTTATACCCACTAGTGAGAAGAAAGAGGAAAAGCTCCATCTGTGGACACAAATCAATAGACTGACCTACTGTGCTGCTCTACACTTTATCATTATTACTTTTTGAAGTGCCCCAGATTTCCCATTCCTCCTCGTCCGTATACGGATGTCAAAACAGGTTATCTAAGGTCTCTAAAGGCTCCGCTTTTTGGAGGAAACAAGAGCCAGAAAACGATTCTTGAAGGTAAAATGTGTGTGTGTGTGTTTGCGGCTCTTGATGGAATGAGCATCTGGACTGAAAGGCAATCCTCTCACATGCCGTGTGCGTGTCAGCAGGAGGTCAGCGCCATCCAGTAGGCAGCAGCTGCCGCTTCTCCTCTCCGCTCCAACGTATTGCAGCGAGAACAACCTGTGTCCGCCACAGAAACAGAAACGGGCGGGACCCAGACTGGATATTCATTGATCAGTCTGGAAGGCTAAAGTGGAGCGCAGGATGGGATTTATGGGAACGGTGGCCTGCGAAGGAGGATGGGGGTGTCTTGAAATTGCTGTTTTCTCCCTTGTGTCCTTTACTGTTACTGCTCTTCTTCTGCCTCATCTTTTTACAGGCAAATACAGACGTGCCACAACATTATATTAAGTCAGTTTAGCTGTAAATGAGCTCAACAAGTACAAGAATACAATAAAATATATATGTTTTTTCTTTTACTTACCTTCTCAGACCCAGAAATTTTTGTTTTTATGGATTTACATAATCTATCACAAACTTTTTGTCACAGGGACCAAAATCATCAAGATCAAAATAAAGTCTTCATTTGAATCAACCTTGTGTACGTCTCTGAATGTCAGGGGCCGCAAAAAATCTGTCAGAGAGCCATGAAACGGCCCGCAAACCCCTGATTTATCCTGTTTTGTTCATCTTTATCCTGTTTATGTACCATTTTAATTAATTTTACACAAGTTTGATCTGATAACAACTGTAAAACATTTTAACCCAGGCCCAACTGCTGTGTTTTAGCTTCAGGACAAAACTTCCAGTGTCCTTAAAGGGAGCACAGTTCAGTCAAACGCACAAACCAACGTCCCAGAGGAGTGATAATCTTGAATGAGAGTTCATAAACTGAAGATTTATAAGTCAATTTGTTCTGTGAGAAGAAGAAGGAAGTCAGGAGAAATGGGAGACCTAACAGCACGGCACCCAATTCAAAACCAGTCCTTGCTCTGACTGTGTTTACAGACGGTCAAACTTTATTTCTGTCAAGGGTCATGAAAAGTAACTTCAGACGACACACGTGATGGTTGGAAAGGAGGTCAAAATGTTGTCATATGATATGTGGTTTACTTGGCTCAGACACTCAGAAAAAGCAAGTCACTGCTGCTGGCAGCTAACGGGTAAACATGTAGAGGGGAGAGCGGGTGTTGTTTTCAGTCAAAATTATCAGGATGCTTTTACACTGACAGAGAACACATAAAGTTAAAGCCTCAGTTTAAAAAAAAAATATTATCTGAGAAACTTTATGCTCACAAACAACACCAATAGCTGGCCTGAAAGTCTATGTGTTTTGAGATTAAGTTTTGTGCTTATTCATCAGCCTCACAAAGTCAATTCCTCTGAAGAAAAGATTTCATTATACTTGGGGGAGTTTTCTATCAGAGAGACAAAACAAGAATGCTCATTTATGTATTTTTCTATGTTGCCAAAAAAACAAAAAAAAAGCTGCCAGTCACTTAACTGGTTAGAAAAATACTCTGCTGTTAGCCTTAATAGTAGTAATGTTTCTGTGTTAGAAGAGTCGGCTCCAAAAGCTAATTTTCAGTCAGAAAACTGAAAAATAAAAAGTAAATGCACTTCGAAATTAATAGAAAGGGTTTAATTAAAATTTCTTAAAGATATATTTGTCTTCTAGCATCACATTAAGGAAATGTCATTTAAAGCAGAACAGTGTCTGCATTAAGATGACGCTGTTAAAAATCAAAAACATGCCTGATCCTTCGTATCAAAATCAGTTTCTGCAGCAGTTTATTTTCTCCTTTATCCACATTCTAACCTCACATTTGCTGCTTGAGGAGTTTCATAAAAACTAATAATAAAATAATAAAAAAATCTAAACTATTAAACACAACAAGCCCCTTCAGTGCTTGTGTACTTCCCTTTTTGTACTGCTCCACTCAGAGCATACTAATAATCCTTCTTATTGCTTTTGAATATAAATGTGTAAGTTAATTGATACCTCAGGAGCGATAATGTCTCAGCGGCTCTGAGGGCCGTTCCACACCCCGTCTATATGCTGCACATATGAGTCTCAATAAACTTGAGCACCCAGCATGAACCGGGCTGTGATGCTAATAAGCCTCACTGAGACAACAGGGAATGACTGTAAACTCCACAGTGAGCCTCATCACAACACCTCCGTGTTACAGTTTGCTTTCATTTTTAATAAATTACGTTCACATTTATTCATCAGTTAAATGTTGTCTATGAGAAGACGGCATTTAATTGCGTTATTGGATGTGTGTAAAAGGAATGATCCCCCTCCCCCCACGTCTCCCCTTTGTGCCTTAAACCTAATCACTTTCTTTATCTGAGGAGACGCGTCTTTGTGCATCTGAATCAAGCGGGCACTCACACTTACTCACTTTTGATGATTAATTCAAAAGAAGGGGAGCAGATAAGGCATCTCAAAGTGCAAAAGAAAGAAGATGAAAAGCTGCGAGAGCAGAAACTCTGTGCCTCTTTTTCCACCAGTTTGTTTCTACTGGGACTTTGTCTCATCTCTCTTTGGGGAAGGCAAGGGGATGGGAGTTTCGGATGGTCAAGATCCTTTTGTTTTTTCCAGCTTTTGTCTTTCTGATGAGGGCCAAGCTGAAACCGAACTGACAGGTTTGGGAGGAAGGCCAGGTGAGAGTTTCTGGGCGTTGGACGAAGACTTCAGGACGTCTTCAGGAGGGGAGGTGATGGGTCCCAGTCATCGTCCTGGAGAAAGACAACAGGGAGTCAGTTTCATGTGGCAAAGAAAAACAGACATCAGCAGTTGTCAGTGTGTGTGTGTGTGTGTGTGCGTGTGCGCGTGTGTGTGTGTGCAGCTGTTTAGAAGTACTCTCTCTCCTTAGACACACACACAGTGGAGGATGAGTGTTGGTTCCATATTGGCTCTCTCTCAGAGGGTGGGAGCTTTACATTATAAGCTTGATATTGATTACAGGCATTGATGGCTGACATCAGATCCTGCAGCCATATGTCTGCATGGATGTGACCACCAAGCACACAACAAACACCGTTTTTCTGCCTCGTTCCTGGTGGTCTCGCTGTAGGATTTACTGCGGCTGCCACATGTTTCAGGAAAATGATTTCTCGTTAAACGAGTCATGGTCTTGAGAAAGTAACCTGGCTATGATTTTGCTAAAATGTATTTTAGCAAAATTTAAAATGCTCAAATCCTACCCCAAAAAATTACACAAATACAACCTGGTCAGATGCAAAATATAATTAAATTATGACTTCATTTAATGAATTATCCAGACCAACTGGGACATTGGTGAAGAAGAGATCGCCTACGGAGTCCAGTGAAGTTTGCGGTAACTTTTAATCGGTCTTTTACATCACTGAGGATAAATTTTGGCCCACTCTTCTTTGCAGAATTGCGTGAATTCAGTCATATTGGAATATTATTGAGCATGTATACCCTAAGGTCACCACAGTATTTAAATTGGTTTTAAGTCCAGATTTAATTAGGTCACTCCACTCGGTAAATAATGACATGTTTAATCCAAAAGTGTCATTATTTTCCAAATAACTCTTCATGGCAACAGTCATGAACATTCATGAAGACGCCTTCATATTCTTTTCTGGTCTTATAAAATGTTTATGACAGTTTCATGTCAGTCTTATACACACAAATGAAGCGTTGCCCCTTTTTCCTTTAAAAATGAAATCAACATTTGAAAACTGCCTTTGTCTTCACTTAAACTATCTTTTTGTGCTGTATTTTTTGACCAAAAGATAACCATACCAGACTGAAGCCACTGAAATCCTCGATTCTATCCATTTTGCCTGATGTAATCCTGTTTTGCGTATAAACTTGCTGAAAACCCTTGTCAGCGTCTATGTAAATGAATTCTATGTGTGTTTATTGAAGCAGCAGAGTGACTTCCCCCACTGAAACTGTGACCTCAACAACAACAACAAAAAAAAGATTGCAAAAGCGCTGTTGGCTTATGAAAGGAGCATCATGTAACCTTGTGTTTTGGGTGGGCTGCACCTTTAAACAGCAGGCGTGGCTCCGCTTACTACGGGCCCGCCTCCCGTGCATAACAGCCGCCTCTCCTCCCTCGCTCTGGATCACATTAGTGCAGCAGTCCTGCGAAGAAAGTGACCGCAGCCGGGCCACTCGAGGGGTGGGAGCGCGAACCGAGCGGACCATCGCCGAGGGGGTTCCTACCCTCCAGGAGCAGACAGGAAACAGCGGGACGCTGAGCGCTTCGAAGCGGGAGAGCTGGAGTCCAACGGAACGGGGCGAAGGAGGGGAAGGAAGGCTGTCGTCGCTGCGGGCTTTTGGGCTCTTTAATTTTACGCACAGCGGACCTGTGAAGACGCGGACAGGTCATCCTCTCGCAACCGCAGGTAAACAAACTCTTTTATTCAGTTGGTTCCGGTCCGCACGTGCGCTTCTTGTACAGCCGACACAAGCGCGTGCACGGACGGTTCCGTTGGCGGTGATTTAAAGTTTGAGGCTTGAGCAGCTTCCTGCGCGCTGCCTAATTAAGTGATGGGTGCGCTTCTCAGCCGCAGCTGTGCATTCTTGGCGCTTGATAAGCGTTATCGCCGAGGAGGAGCCAGATAAACTACTTTACATACGGCCGCCTGCTCTCACCAGGTTTCCTCCAGCAGGCAGCCGAGACTCCTACCTTTACTCCAGCCGCTTAATCTATTTCAATCTAACCTAATCAGTCTATTTTGTGCTGAACCGACTGACCCCCCTCTCCCTGTTGCCGCTCTGTGACAGGGAACTGGTGGAGCTCTGTTATGTAACGGAGGCACTGTTGCGAAACTTGTAGTTGTAGGTTGGAACTTGATAACTTTCAATCACATTTTCACCCAAATGATGCTCCAGGAGGAGGCTGAGCAAAATCAATCCTAAATTCAGTCGTTTTTTTTTATTCAAACGATTTGTTTTTAATAGGATAATGAATGTAAAACTATTATTTATTAATTCTGCCTACCCTGGGTGCAAGGGGAAAAAATAAAAATATTTTTAATACTGAAATTATTTTTTTAAAAATGGGTTTCTTAGAGCTAAAATGTATATATTTTTTAAATGTTATTTTTCTGTAATTGTATAAATGAACACATCTCTGATTCCGCCTGTGTATCTCCTCAGACAGGCACCACGGAGTGATTCACGCCCCCTCTAGCCCCCATCACCTCACCCCGCCTGTCTGCCTCCAATGCCGGGCATTAGCTCCGCCGCGCCTCGTTATGAAAACTGGGAAATGGACCACTACCAGCACTACTTTTACGACGACCACGATCCGGACGAGGACTTCTTCATGTCCACGGCGCCCAGCGAGGACATATGGAAGAAATTCGAGCTGGTTCCGACCCCGCCCATGTCCCCCATGCGGCTGCCCGCGGAAGGGTCGGGCCAGGTCGGGCTGCTCTGTCCCTCTCTCGGGGACAAGCTGGAGTGGGTTTCTCAGTTCCTGGGGCAGGACGACGAGCATAATCAGCAGCAGCAGCAGCAGCAGCAGCAGCACGCGCAGGAGCTGCCCTACAAGCTCGCGACCAGCGGCGACTCCTTCGGCAACCTGAGCTCCATCATCATCCAGGACTGCATGTGGAGCTGCTTCTCTGCCGGACAGCAGCTGGAGAGAGTGGTAGGGGAGCGTCCTCGGCTCGGCGCCGGAGGCAACGTTTTGTCTCCGTGGAAAGCCCAGGGTGCCCTCACCGACACGTGGTTCGCGGGTGGCCTGGCTGCGGACTGCGTGGACCCGGCTGCCGTGCTCACTTTCCCGCTTCCCGGAGGATGCAAGAGAAAGGTGTCGTCCGGTTCAGAGTCGCACACAGACTCCTCAGGTCAGTAGCTCGTTTATTCACCAAGCAACTGTGGGACAAATAGAAGTAGTTATTTTATGTTTCCCCCGTCAGCTCTGTGTGTTTTTAAAGATTTCGCTTAAGTTGTTGATTGAGTCTGAGATGTGAGAGTTGTGTGTCAGCAGTAGTTGGTAGGGCTCCTCCTGACTGCATTGCACCTTGGTGCATGCAACACATGCTTGAAGCCAAGAGTGACACACCCATTGAAACATCTGCTGCTTGGCAGGAGTCCAGCAGACCAGCTGCTCCCTCTCCCTGCTGCTCCTCCACTCTGACTTATGGCAGTAATATCTTCCCAACTTCTGTTTGGCTCCGTTTTCTCCTGACTTCTTACAGCAAGTGCCTTTCAGTTGAACTTTGTGCTACTAAAAAGGAGGGAAGAGAAAGCCATGTGTGTCTTGGCGTGAGCTTGTTTGATGTTCTAGATGCAAGATAACTTTGACAGTGTTTAAAACAAAACCTGTAACATGAACTCCTCGAATTGTATAATGCATTGATTATTACCATCACAGTATCAGTCTTTATTTTGAGACAGAGATTTAATTTAAAAAAAAAAGAATAACTTGTTGATGCACCGATGGGGCTTCTGACCGGTACCAATTTCTGGCATCTTTTAAGGTCTGATTTGTAATAAAAGCTGAACTCAGTTTTATAGGTTTTTGATAAAGCTTGTACTTTTTAATGCAAAATTAAATGCAAGATCATCTTTTTTTCCATTCATCAAAACATGGGTCTCAGATTTTTTTATCAGATTTTTTAAAATTTAACCCAAATTCTTTTTTATTTAACCCAAAACAAGCATGTCAATTTGTAAGTTGTCGATTCATTTATAATTTTTTTTATTTTACTTTTTTTTCTTTTTTTTTACTTTTATAATTATCACTATAGAGATAATTTCAATATAATTCACTATAATTTTGTAATTTATCACTAAATTACATTAGTGACATGTAATTAATGACTAATTACATGTCACTAATGTAATTAGTGACATAATTTTATGTCACTATAGTGACATGAAATTCTAAAAGTTCTTAGATTTGATGCAGTTAGTAAAGGGATAAAACAGATTTTAAGTATTTGACCTGCTGATGAAAAATCGTCCGATTCTGATCTCAATCCAGTTGATCGGTGCATCTTATAACACTTTGTCTAGTGGTAGTTTCCAAGTATTTCACTGTGTGGAATAATTAAAATCTGTTTAGAGACACAAGCTCTTCACTTGCTAACAATAAGGGTGATGAATGGCTTTCGTTTATCGTAAACGTTGCCAAACAAGCCAACTCGTCCATCTTGTAAGCAAGGGGAGAAGTGTAGAAGTAGCTTAGCCAGCTGACCGGCAGTTTCTGCACTCCATGCAATTTAAGACGCCCTCCAGCAATTACTCTGTGATGGTATAACAAAAAAACATCAGTCATTTTTAAATCAAAACTTCTAAAACCCTGTCGATGCTGAGAAGTGACCCGGCTTCATTCAAACCTCGCTTCTTCCCAAAGATCCCCTCCTACCCCCGGTTGGAGCCCATATGACTGGGTTTGGTATGCAGGCTGCCATGTGATCTGTTGGGGTCTGGACTGCGCGTAATGGTGTGTGGAATGTCACAAAGGGAGCCTGTTGCTGCATTCCTCTGCTCCAACAGGCTGCAGCTACAATTGTCTGCGTGTGTGATCCAAGCCAGCCGGGGCCTTGAATAGAGTAGGATTAGCCTTTTAGGAGGTCGGCTCGACCCGTGGAATTCCCCTGGAGGAAGCTGGAGGTGTGTCTCGCCACATTCTGCAGAATCTTATCTGCTTCGCGAAGGTGGATGGGCAGAAGTAGGGAGGGGTCCATTGCAGGGTTTCTCTGAGGGGGAAAAAAACAGATCTTAACCCCTTTTTTTTTTCTTTTTTTGGGGGGAGATTGATTCTCATGAGAATAAGTTTGTGAGAATCGAGTTGATAAGAATTTAATGTTTTCTTTCCACTTGAGGAAACATTGTGGGAAACTTTTTCTCAAGCCATGCCTAGTTGAACATTGGCCAGTTTGTTTTAACAAGCTTAAAACTCCCCCCATGTCTCTCCTTCCTACCTCGTCCTCACTCTCAACACATGAATGAAGCGAGGGAATTCCTACTGAGGGGGCTGGTTTAAAGGAGAACTGCTGGCTCAGAGTGTGTGTCTGTTCTCTGCAAGTGTGTGTGTGTCATGATGCATGTCATAGTTTCCAGGGATTTTGTTTCATTTTTACAGTAAAGGCTAACTGGATGATGCCGTCCAGAGAGAATGCGGTGGATTTTCTTCCTTTATTTGGTGTTGCTCTTTTGTCTGATCACATTTGTGTATCCCTGTTGTGATGATGGTGGCGGTGGTGGTAGGACAATCAATGGTTTGGCTGTTCGATTCCCGCTACATCCGCCAATGTCATTGCATTCTTGAGCAAGACTTGCCTGCTTGATAAAGCGCTATGCATGTATTTAACACGGTAACACTTTATTTGAAGGGGTGTGGATAAGACTGACATGACACTGTTGTAAACATGAACGAGTCTTTATGAATGTTTGACGGTTGTCATGAAGTGTCATTCGGTAAATAATGACACTTTTAATGCAAAGTTGCTCTAAAAGTTGCGTTGAAAGTCCATTAAAAGTGCCAACGTTGCATTAAATTATCGTAATTTACAAAATCATGCAACGTTGGCACTTTTAATGGTCTTTCAAAGCAACTTTTAGAGCAACTTTGCATTAAAAGTATCATTATTTACCGAATGACACTTCATGACGACTGTCAAACATTCATAAAGACTTCTTTATGTTCATGACAGGTGTTATGTCAGTCTTATGCACAACCCTTCAAATAAAGTATTACCCTTAACGCTTACCATATTCACTTTTCAGATGACGAAGACGAAAACGATGATGATGAGGAGGAAATTGACGTGGTGACGGTGGACCACAATCAGCAGCAGCAGCAGCATAAACCCCGTCGACTGGTCACCACCCGCAAACCGGTGACCATCACGGTGCGAGCAGACCCCCACGACCCCGGCACCAAGCGTTTCCACATCTCCATCCATCAGCAGCAGCACAACTACGCCGCGCCCTCCCCGGACACACTCCCCGCGGACCCCGAGCCCGCCCGGAAGAAGGTCCGACAGGGAGTCCCCGCTCCCGCGACCCAGCCTCACAGGAACTCTCTCCACAACCAGCCCCGGCCCGGCCATGCGCCTCTGAACTTGGACAGGAGAAGGTCTCACTCCACTGTGGCCGGGGTGAGATCAGAGTCCCCCAACCTTAGCGCGTCCTCTCCTACCTCGTCCTCGTCGCCTTCGTCTCCACCCAGCTCCTCCTCGTCGTCATCCCACCATTGCTTGCCGTCGAAGCCCCGTTCCCACATGTCGAGCCCCCTGTCCTCAGACTGCGAGGACACGGACAAGCGCAAGGCGCACAACTTCCTGGAGCGGAAGCGGCGCAATGACCTGCGCTCCCGCTTCCTCTTGCTACGGGACGAGATCCCGGGGTTGGCGGACTGTGCCAAGACCCCCAAGGTGGCCATCTTGACCCGAGCTACGGAGTACCTGCAGCAGCTCCACGCCGCCGAGAAACAGAAGACTCAGGAGAGGAAGCAGCTGAAGGCCAGGCAGCTGCAGCTGCTGCAGCGGTTGGCGCAGCTCAAACGCTCCTGAGAGCCGGAATCGACCGCCGCCTTCACATGAACCTTGAACTGAAGGAGAACTACATAAAGTGGGGAAAAACACTGAGTTGGTCATGCTGGATTAGAGGAGTTGGATTTGATTTTTTTAAATTTTTGCTTTTTTTTTTTTTCGATTTGTGGTTTGCACATCAGCTTCTGAGTGACAGAGCTATCTGGACGGCCGTTTTCTGGCTGGTTTCCGTTTTACTATCCTGAGGTCTCAAGGGATTTCTGTTGGATCTTGCAAGGGGGAATTTACTCATGGTTACTTGATATTTTTTTAAATTTACCTCCAACAAGAACTATTAAAACTTGTCTTAAAATAAAATTGGCATTGTTAATTGCTAGAACCACTTTGGTCAAACCCCCTGTTCTTTATTACCTGGTCAAGAATGTCAAAATTCATGATTTTGCCATTACATCTTAGTTTTTCAGGCTTCCCCAACCTGCCCTCCCCCCTCCCCTATTCTTCTCATTTTCCTTAACAGCAGTTGGTCAGTCCTTGTTTGAAACTGGCTTGAAATGAAGAAGTTTGAGTTGCTTTCCCTGCACCCAACCCTCCCTCCTCTTTTTATTGCCCCAGTACCATTTACTGCTGCATGTTACAACAAAATCCTTGCAGTTACAGACGTTTTTTTCTTTTTCTTTTTTGTAGCAATTTTAGAAAACGGGTTATGTCTGAAATTTTCTTCAATACAGGTCATCAAAATGATAATTAAAAAAAAACACTAAAATATTTACTGAGATTTATTGTTGTGCCATGAAGATCAGCCAAAAGGTGAATGTCAGCTTAGGTTAAAATATTGGCTTAAATCTGTGTTTTTATTGTCTTTTTATTGAAGTCAGGAGTTCCAGCTGTATCATTTTTTTTCTTTTTTTTTTTTTTTTTTTTTTTTTTTTTTTTTTTTTTTTTTTGGGATTCCTTTAGGGGGCCGCTCTTTTTTTTTGGGTTTACATTTGGT